ACATATATCATTTTTTAGTATGTTTATTAGAAAATTATGCTTTCTCCTATAATTTAGTAAAAATTAAACATTGTACATTTGTTGTTAAATGATACAAAGTAGAAACTCATTTATAATGATAGTATGAATATTATTATGATTGCATTAACACAAACATTAGATACCATATTTATATGATGCCCTTAATGTGTTTATAACCACAAATCACTCCTTTGTCACAACCATATAAAAATGGCAAAGCCAGTTTAAAATTTTTGAAGACGGCTGTAGTGAGGGTGCAGGTCACAGATGGCTAGGTGTGCACGCATTTACCAGCTTTAAAGCATACTGTACACGTCAGTTGTTATGCGTCCATTGTCTTTTATCTAGGGCAATTAAGAAGTGGAGGGCCATGCTTCATGAAATGTTCTCTATATCTGAAAATCACTATCCATGTGAGCCCTGGGTTGGAGTCAAGAGGTGGCAACCTTTGGCTAGACTGGGCTTCTTGGACAAAGACAGTGGGTTGATGACAATATTAACAGCACCTATAGCCCATGCTATGCATCTGAAACTATTCAAATAATGGACCAAGTTTTCATTACATTTTGGCTTCTGTCTCATTTGATATATTTTCTACTTTGAGGAACAGAAAAATCCCAACTCAGTCCATTTAAGTCATGAGGAGAATAGGAATCCGAGGTAGGGGGGCTTCAGAGTTGGTTACATCAGCAGCTCAATGATACCAGTGAGGTCCTGGGTCTTTCTGCCCCTTTCCCTGTCCTCCCATCATCCATGGGTCAGTCGGGCTGCTGTCAGGGACAAGACGGTGACCATGGGTCTCGGCATCCCTTGTAGTTCATGTTGGCATCAAGAGGGAAAAGAGGCACATCTTTCTCCAGGCATCCCTCCATCCCCTCAGCTGACTGTCTCTCACGTCTCTGTGGCCAGAGGGGTCCCTGCAGTTCCTGGCAAGGAGACAGAGAGCTCCCTGACTGGCGCAGGCTGCGCTCAACAGAGCTGACTTCTAGGCAGAGAAGAAAGAAAGGCCATGTGTTTGGTTTTGATAGGACAAGGGTTCATGATGAGGATGATTAAATAAATACACCAATAGGTTCAGAACAGGAGCTATTTGAAGGACGTGAGTTCCGAGATATGTATTAGCTGCCGCATACATACACGCTGTGTGTAACTGGTCTGGAATTGCACAGTGAGTGTGAGGGCAGGCTGCGAGTCAAATCCCAGCTCTGCCATTTGCCAGACAACTGCCTTAGTAAATTGTGCAACTTCTCTGAGCTTATAAAATGGGGAGTTGTTGTACGGATTAGGGTAGTTGTTAGGATTACACATAAAAGGTTAGGCCTGGTGGCCAATGCGTGGTTAGCAATCAACAAAAGTAAGATGATGGTATCATGTCCGTGAGGATGATAGTGACCTAGTCACGACCTAGTCACGACTCGGTGCCTCTCAGCTGCTGAACAGCTCTCTCTAACTGCTTTCAGTCTTTCCACCATTCAGCCGCTTTGCCCTCTGCCCAGTCCTCTCTCCGCATGGCAGCCGGAGTGGTGTTAAGAACATATGGTAGATCATGTCACTCTCCTGCTCAAAACCCTCCTAAAGCTCTCTTTACACCTAAAATCAAATTTAAAGTCCTTGGGGATCACAGCCTCCAGGGCCCAGTGTGATCTGGCCTTGCCTACCTCTGCCGTTTTTGGCAACTCTCCCCCTGGATCCCTCTGCTCAGAGACACCGGCCAGGGTCACATCAGGCCAGTTCCTCAGGCGCGTTCCTTATGCCCTCTGCCGGAAGGCTCTCTCCACTGGGCCTTCTCACGGCCCACCCCTCACCTGTTCCTGTCTCTGCTCTAGTGCGTCCTCAGGGAGGACTTTGTCATCAGCCTCCTAAAGCAGTCGCCACGCTTACTCAGCTTGGATTCTCTAGGAAACGGAACCTGAGGCCAAAGCTTACATGCCCACACGTTACTGAGGGTGAGTACAATCCCACAGGAGCAGGAACAGGGAAGAAGAAAGAGCAAAGAGTGAACAGGCCCCAGCGGAGTGCTTGGTCTCCAGGGACACCGTCGGAGGGCCCGGGGAGCGCTGCAGCTCAGCACAGACCCTCCAGGGAAGGGGGGCAGAGTTTATCTGCTGTCTCCCTCCTGTTGCCCATCTCCCTCTGGCCACTGAACTCCCCCCACCTCTGTGTTGTACTGAGTAGCCCCTCTGGCCAGCCTTGGGGAAAACCACAGCCCTCAGGGTCCAGTCTGAGCAGCACCCAGGCATGGAGGCCCGTGTCTCCCTGTCAGCTGGTGTCCTGGGCCATGAGAGAGGCTTTTTGATCTGAGGTAGTGAGGGTAACAGCAGAGGGACCTGACTCACTGGGGGAACAGCACGGAACAGCTGATAGCACCCGTGTGGCCAGCAAGCAGTGCAATAAGCCAGAGCCCGGCGAGTGGATGCAGAGAAGTCAGAGTGGCTGCCCAGATTTGGGATGGCATGTCGGCCAAGTCCAGTAGCATCTTACAGATCCTCATCTTGCCAACTTCTCTTCATAACTCTTAAGATGCCCTGCCACGGTATTCGACCCACAGAATTGCACATTCGTTTGAGTGGAGCGTACATGCACAGGAATGGAGTCTCCCTAAGGCAGATGCTCGTCTCTTTGAGTGTTCTTTTTTTAGATTGTCCTGTTATTTACCACTCTATACGGGTGGGTTGGAGGACAAGTCATGGAAAAAACTGTCAGCTATTGCTTTCCTTTTGGAAAGAGGAGTTTGGCCCCTCCCTTGGCTTTCCTCCTCCCTTGTGCCCTCTTTCATGGCCCCCCCAGCCCCAGTAAGAGGGCGTGGAGGCCTGGCCTTCTCATTCCAAAGTCTCCCTGTGCACATGGAATTCTGAGAGTGGCTGAGCTGCATTTTCTCCCACTGTCGGTGCCTTCTCAGGCCCCGGGTGCCATCAGTCTAGGCCCTGGATGGGACTTCTGTCTCTGGAGCAATACCATGGGAAGGTTTTATTGTTCCTCTCTTTCCTCTTTAAGCATTCACAATTCCTGTTCCATCACTGCAGCTTCTCATTCATCACAGCTTCTTAATGAAGATTCCTACTCTACTCCACTTCTTCATGGCCTTGAAAAACTCCCCAAATCACCATTATTTCTTGAATGAATACCTTACTTACCTCTGTACTGGCTACTTTTCCCCCGAAGTCACAGTTAAAAAATTATTTCTGAGTATGATTTTCGGTCCAGGATTTTGAGCTTATTGCCTATATTCCCTTCATTGCTAGTTGACTAAATGAATCATTTAAGAAATCAGCATTAATACTAGACATACAGGAGACGCCTAACAATATAGCTCTTTTTAGATCGGAGTAGCCCTAATTCCTAGAAGGACTGGTAAAATAATGACATAGGTAAGCAGCATTGAAGATGGCCTCAGAAGTTCATTGCATATGAGTGCCTGGCACTGCACTGACCCACAACTGCCACCTGAGCCTCAAGGAAATGAGGCCCGGAATGGGTGGGGCTCATCCAGGCCCCTCCAGTCAGAGAGGGCACAGGCGCAGAGGGACCCAGTCAACTGCACTGTCTGGTTGGAAGATTTACTAGGACACTTTTTGGACAGTCAGTGGAATGTTAAATTGGGCTCGACAAGAAAGACAGTTTTCTGCCTCTTCCCACCTTCTCCCAGCCTGGTTTCTACCAGGTATTTCTGGACACTGTCTGACCAGGGTGGGCCTGACCCATAGCCAATGACAGTGAGACTGGAGGAGGTGCTCTGCCCTCCCCCTCCCCACCACGCCGGCCCCAGGGCCTTGTGCCATCTCTGGGGAGCCTGACATGCAGCTGCACTCTGAAATGACCTGCAGGATACACCCTTTGGCAGCAGTTTTTGATCAAATGGTTGTGTTTTTGGTAAGAATAGAAAACAGAAGCAAGTTGTAAAACCAGTAAAGTGAATGTATATATACTGGAGATTTTAAATTTTTGATCATGTAAAATTACATTGATAACTTTCTTTGTATGTCTCTGAGTCTGCCTGGCTAAACCACTCACCAGTAACCTAGAGTTGGGGCAGGGGGCAGTAATCTGAATTTATGTTTCCTTTTAACTTGTACATTCCAAACTTACTGAACTGCAGGAATGTAAAACTTATCCAAACTTTTTTTTGGCCAGGCATCCTAGTTGGGTACTGAGAATCATCAGTATGCTTGCAAGTTCTAAAACTGGGTTTCAGGCAAATTATGAAATTCTCTGTGAGAAATCTAGCCTATTTTCCAAGTTGGGTAGTATTATTAAACCAAGAATTGCCCTAAGAGGTGAAAGTACAGAGCAATTTAAAGAGGTGTCAAGGTCTACTAGCATCTGATGCTGCTTCCCCAAAGACTTGTTTCATTTCATCATTCACACTTCACCTTTTTTATTCCAAGGTGATTTTTAATTCCACTCTTATTTTATGCACAGTAGTCGCAATAGCTCACTTCAGATGTTTGCATTTTCTCTAAGGGATATTCCTTACATCTGGTTTGCAGCAGCTATATCTCCCTTTCCTTGGGAAGCAGAGGAAATTTGTGGAAGTCCAGGCCCTGCTCACTGCATTAAACAAAGCTAGTTCTGATCTTGGTCAGTTTGCAGACCCTGACTTACATATGACCCTGGGTTATTAAAACACACACCCCGAGGCTTGCCTTGGTTATGTAACTGGGCCACTAGGCTGACTCAGGGACTTCGTGCTGAGAGCTGACAACGTAAATCTGACTTTCCAAACACCCCAAAGTGTGGGAAGGGAGCTAAACCTCTGAGCTGTGGGGCTCCATCTTAACTATGGACTTAGAATTAAATGTCAGAGGGGGGCACAGCATATTTTCAAACTTTACTGCTTTCTTTTATGTCCAGTCTTTCTTCTCTTTTTCCAAGATGGAAGTACCATCCCTTCTGCTACCCAGATGCTGGCCTTAGTCAGCTTTGGAACGTTAGTCATGCATGGCCCTGGCAAGATTCATGGTCTAACCTGAGAGAACATCATGCCTGCCAAGGCCCTGGTGGCTGAGGATGGAGTGGCCTTTATCCTTTTGAGCCCAAATCATGGTATCCATGTAGGAAGTCATAGCAGACTGACACCTGGAAGTCACCCAGGTCTTACCTAAATCCTTACTTTACAGCTGGGGAAACTGATATTTCTGGCAGAGACATGACAGGCCCTGAGTTACAGTCTGGTCAGTGGTAGAGGGAGGGCTGGGTCCCAGACCAAACTCTATGTGAAGGTGGGGACTATGTCAGCCTAGCCGCTGCTGTGTCCCCAGCACCTAGCACAGTGCCTAGCACCTAGGAGGCCAGGAGATACCTCTTCCTACATGTCAGCTTCCTATTATTCTCCCCCATTTCCTGATATTTTACTAAACATCCTCAGAAAAGTCCCTCTGTCCTCTCCTCCAGGCCAGGAGAGGGCACAAGACACTGTTCCCCTGTGCCCAGAAGTTACCTGGTGCCCACACAGAGCAGGAGGCAGTGCCCCAGAAAGTCTCCTGCCCATCAGTTACCACCAGCCTGGTCTGGCTAGGGTCTCCTTCCTAAGGTTGATGCCATTAGGAGGCCCTAGTGGTTACAAAGGTGTTTCCAGTTTATTTAGGCACCAAGACTGATCTCTAGGCCAGTTAGTAAAAGCAAAATGGCCACTGGGTGGGGTGTCTCCAAAAGTTGTAGATGTTGAAGAGTGATGCAGAAAGGATTGGGAGCCCCAGGCTTGGGGATGAGGCCAGGGCCGTGAAAAGTCCTGTTCTAAAGGAGAAGGGATCCTCTGGTCCCTGCTGGGCCAGGCTAAGCAGCTATCACCTGGACTGCCTCTGTATGCTCAGGATTTCATAAGATTCTGCAGTTTGGAGAGGACAGATGCGAAAGAGAGATATAAAAACTTTGCTTTTTTGCACGTTGCTGGTTCTCAGGGAGGGTGAGTGTCGCTTGACTTTGCCAACAGGGACAGCCTGGGCTCCACGGGCTATGGCCGCTGATTAAGCCAGTTTGAGAGCACAGCCTTGGGGGAGAACCCGCCCGGGAAAGAGACGCGAGGAGAGGGGGAGTGTGTTGGCGGCGAGGCGGTGGGTGGGGTGGGTGGGAGGGGGTTGGCCCCTGCCAGCGCCAGGCGAGCCAGAGGCGGGAGCGCATCCCCTCCCGCCGTGGGCGCCGACAGCTGCCTGGAGCCCTAGCGCCCCGCGTGCGCGCCCGCCTGCTCCGCGCACCTGCCGCGGGCGCCTCGCGGGCCTGAGCTGGAGGCTGGCGGGCAGCGCGCACAGGTGGCGGCTATCGGGCAGGCGGGGCCCGGGGGTGACGTCACGGGCTCCGGTCCCGGCGGCAGAAATAGGGCGGCCGCGGCGGCTGTGGCTCAGCAGCGGGCAGCGGCGGCTCGGAGGGCCGGAGCCGAGGCAGCCTCCAGCGCGCCCGGGAGTCGCCGACCGCCGAGGGGCACGGCCGGAAGACGCGGGGCCGGGTCGCCGCCGCCGCCGCCGCCGCCACGGGCTCGCCCGCCCGCCCGCCGGAGTCCAGCCACCCGGTCTTTCCCTCGGCCCGGGCCGCCGCAGGTACGCGGGCGCAGCTCCAGAGCGGGCGCGGGGAGGGTGCCAAGCGGCCGCCGCCGCCCCCACCAACCCGTCCCGCTGCGCTCCGCCGGGGTCCCAGCGCCCGCGGCCCCGCGTCTCCCTGCAGGGCCCGGCGCGGGCGCCTGTTCGTCCTCCCCGCCCGCGCCGGGAGAGCCAAGTTTGCCCGCCTGGCGGGCGGCAGGCACGGGGCCACGGGACCCGGGCTCGGCGGGGCTACTCGGGCTCGGCCAGGATGCGGGGTAAATTAGGCTGGGAGCCGAGGCTTGTGGCCCGGGTCTGCAGTAGGGACCGGAGTGACCCGGCTGACGAGCGGAGCAGAACCTCTCGGGCCGAGCCAGCAGCCGGCGCTGCCCTTGGGCTCCGGACCCGGAGAGGCCTCGACCAACTAGGTGAGCGGCGGCCCCTCGGCTCGGTCCCGTGCCCTTGGCCCCGGGCTGGGTGCGGGGCAAGCGTTCTCACTACCTCCTTCTGCAGCTTTGCAGGGAAACTTGCGTTGCAGCCCGAAGCGCCCGCTGCGGCTCGCCTGGCACCCCCTACCCCGAGGTCCACGGAGTCTGCGGCCGAGCAGGCTGGGGAGGAGGGACCCCGCATACACCCCGGCTCCCGGTAGCCCGCGGCTCTCGTTCGGCCCAGCTGGTCGCTGTTCTGAGCGAGCGAGCGGGCGGGCGGTGTAACCCGCCGGGGAGTCACTACCAAGCAGTTTGGGGGATGTTCAGGCTTGGTCCTGCCGGGGAGCGTGGTCCTTAGAGAGCTTGTACTGTGGGTGATCTCCGCCCCTCTTGGCGCCTGCAAAGGAAACCTGCTTCAAGTTTTGGGGGGATCTAGGTGATGCAGGCAGAGCCCTGAGCTTTGGGTGCGTGTCTCCTTGAGTTTAGGGGCGAGCGCAGAGCACCCTTCGGGGCTCCCTGCAGCTGACAAAGCGGAGCCCCCAGCGCAGTCGCCCTGCCACCTGAGGACTTCAGCGCCTGCCACTCTTGCAGGGACAGAAACCCTCCCGAAGGAGTAGCGTTTCTCATAATACGCCGAATGTGGGCAGCATCCGTGCAGCGCCTCGCACTAAAGGTCTTTGGCGCCGGCGGAGTTGGACCCCGCTAGGTCTGTGTGTGGCGCAGAGTCGGTCCCCAGTGCGCGATCCTGCAGACCCAGCTCAAGATAACTGTCGCCGACATTGATGAATAGCGCTTCCGCAGACTCTCCACCGCTCCCCTCTAGGTGTCGCTTCCGCCGAGGTTTCCGGCGAGCGAAAAACAGCGCCAGTAGCTTCGTAATTTGCTGCAAGCCTGTGCACCAGAAATTGTACTAGACAGGCCCCCGAGATACAAACATTTGTCCACGTTCTCTGGGCTGAACAGAAACAGAATCTGAATAGCAGACGGCACGGTAACTGTTAACCGAAATGTGCACCGGGAGTGAGCTTGTATTACCATCTGTGAGGGATCGGGAAGAAATCCGGACTCTTCTTAAAAAGTCCCAAGTTATTTTCCTACCACTAAGTTGAGGGGAAAGTAGGATATGAATTTTAACAGTGCTCTCCTCATCCTGGAGTGTGCTGGTTTCGGTGCTTACCCTTTCTGGCTTGCAGGACAGGCTCTTGTCTGGGCAGTGGTCAGGTGGCGCTCACCCGAGAAGCAACGGGTCAGGTGGTGAATGATGTGAGTGATAGGATGCCAGAGCGCCAGCAGCCTTCAGGCAGTAGCTCAAATGGGAGATGTGAGCCGATGCCCCACAGAGCCCACGTCTGCTTACCGTCTTGGTTTTGTGAGAAGACACTGCCGCATCACTAGACCATTTCTGTTCAGACATACTCCTTTGAATGCTAGCTTTTTACCATGCTAGGAAGAAAAGACCTCTCCCTCTCCAAAGACTTCAGACTGAGCCAAAGGTCATGCAGGAAGATAGTTTCTATATATTGTTAATGTATTAAAATTGTTAATTGAAGTCATTCCAGAGGCTTTTTCTCTCAAAAATTTTTGATTGCCATCAATTTTTGTTAAGTCTAGAAAGGCTCTTTTCTTCCAGAGTGTGGCTAGCTTGTTCTTCTGGGCACTGGGAGAACTTTTATCCCTTTGTGTCCTGGAGGTGGGGGAGGGTGGGGATTTTTCCTGTTTGACCTGTCAGTTACTCAGGATTCTTCCCTTCTCCTTCTAGGAAATGCAGGATTTTTCATTGTTGTTGAAGTGATCTTCATGTTGTGATCTTTTGACTTAACACTATATTCTAGAGACTGACATAGAATAGTCAGGATTTCATAAAATCTATTTTAATTTCTACTTTGCCTTTCTTGATATTTCTCTGCAAACTCAACCTTCTTGTGGTGCTCATATGTGGTTAATTGTGTACTTACTCACTTAATGAAATTAAGTAGTTATTTCAAGAGCACATCTGTCCTTACATTTTTCTATCAATGCTTAACACATGGCATGGAACTTCAAGTAAAATAGAATTGCAGTTGAGAGAACGTGGTAGTTAAGAGGTATAATGTAAATGTTGGAAGTGTGAGGGTTCCTGCAAGCCATTCGCGTGTGTGATACACATCATGGTAAATGAGAGTGTTGTAGATTTATACATTACACATAGACTAAATTAGGCATATAATTTATCAAATGTTGGAACAATTAACTATAGAATAGATAATTAATGGGAAATGCAATATAACTTCATTAAGGCTTTCCGCCGGGTTAGCCTGATATATTTCTTTGCCTGATTTCCCTGGGTTGGTATTTCAGAGACTATCTTAGTTTAAGCCTCTTTCTTCCAAAAACCTTCACAAATCAAAACTAGGATCCTAAATCTTTCAGAAGAAATTAATATATAGCGTTCTGGTTTTAGGTTAAGGTTTATATGGTCTTTTTTTTCCCTTTTAACATCACGCAGACACAGAAGAGGATGGTTTCCTGTTGGTTCTGTTTGTTGATTGCCAACAGCCCATGTGTAAAATGCAATGCATGTCAAGTAATTGGCTAGAGCAAACACTTTTCAGTTAGAAAGGTTGGAAATGCAGGTGCCTCAGGGTCACAAACCTGACTGTTCTCTTCAAGGCTAGAGGGTGTCGCTTGGTTCTGCCAAATCGTCTTCATAATTTCTGGTCCTGTGGGTAACAATGGGAAGCCATTTCCATGTGGCTAATCCATAACCTCTGGTTTGATAATGTTGCTGTATATCTGAGTGAGAGGCTGAGAGAGAGAACCTGCGAACAATCTCTCCAAAAGTTCTGAGGGTCAGAAATCTGACTCCTCCCAAACAGGCCTTGTTCTCAAAAGAGAAAAGAGGTTTGTATTAAACCCTCTGTCAGTCTCATGTCAGTGCTTCTCTCTGGCCTCTGACCCTGTTCAGAAAAGACTTCCAAGCTGGTGAGTGTTCTCTGGGGGAGCAGGCTTGGAATTTACATATGCACACCTATGTCATTTGCACGCTCATGTCACATTTTTCCAACTTTCTTCAAAAAGCGAGTCACTAGTTGGAATGTTACATTACACAAATGTGTAGAACCTCTCTAATTTTAAAGGCAAATAAATAATAGCTCAGATATCAGCTTATATTATAAAACCAGAAATCCTCTAGTTTCCACAAGGAGGGGGTAGATGATCTAGTGGAGGTCAACCAGCACTAAGAAAGCAAAATCAGTCTAAACAGAGAATGCAATCATTTTCCACGTGTAAGTTTGTGATAGTGTAAGGAACAAAACAGTTGCCTGCAGGTCGGGTTGCTTGGGTTTTAGTCTAAGTGTGGCCTCTGACATAGCCCCACACGTTCCCCAACCTTCCAGGCCTCTGGTGTCCTGTGTTTGCAGTAGCGAGGCTGGTGCCTGATTCTCCTGAGCATGGAAAAGTGGGGGAAAGTGGGGCTCAGGGGGAAACCTGGGAGGAAGCAGTGAAGTACTTGTCTGGGGAACAGGATGTCTTATATAGCAAGTGATTGTGTTTTATGAGTTGTTTGAAAGAAAAGGTAGTCCCAGCTCTTTTATGAGAACAATGTCAGATAGATTTATAACCAATCTTAGGACCCTAGCGTGGACTGAATGAAGCTTATAAACCTAAACTGATCTCAAAAGGAACTCTGAGTTGAAAAAGCGCATTTGTGACCTATTGATGGTTATTTTCTCATTTCTATAATGGGGAGATTCTTACATTTCCTTCTGTCTGAAGACCAGTAGGACTAGTTGAGGAGTAATTAGTCACCAGATCTACTTCCCCCACTTTACCAAGCTGGGGCTGCCTGTGAGCTGAAGGCATCCTTGGCTGCTGGCATTCTGTGTTTCTCTTTATGGTTTCTTTTTTCAACCACATTCCGTCAATAAAGACAGCAGCAGGGAGGGCTGAGGACAGTGTGCACAGTGGCTCGATTCTGGGTTGGGAACAGGGGTGGGGGCAGCTTGTCTCTTTACTCCTGCTCCGCTTCCCAGGCCTTGGTCAGAGCCAAGAAAGCTGGAGCAGCTCAGCTCTTGGCCACTTTCAGAGGAAAGGAGAGATGTGGGGCTCAGGACTGCCTATCTTGCTCTCATAGATTTTTCCCATCTTACTAAAAGCAACTGTTCATTGAAATAAGACTCTGCTACCTAGAGAGGCGGGAGAGGATAGAGGTTAAGAGCACAGACCCCAGGTCCAGCTGCCTGTCTTGGAGCCCCGGCTCTCCCACTTGTTTGCCCCATGTCCTTGGCAGGGTACTTACCCTCTCTGTGACCCTCTGGCATTTGACTAGGGGATAATCTCTGCCGTCCTCATGGGGCAGAAATGAGGATTATGAGTTCACACCTGTGAAGTGTTTAGAGCAGTGCCGACCCAAAGTAATTGCTATGTAAGTGTTAACCAAATCTATAGTCTCTATTTGATCATTAGACAGATCATCAAAATTGATTTGGCCCCAGTATTCTTTTTCCATGAACCAAACTGTCATAAAACTTGAGTTGTAAATTTTTAGGCTGTTGCTGCCATAGGTGTAATGAATTGTCAATCATTGTGAGTATAAAATGACATGTAAGATGCATCCACCTTGCAAATCAAGTCTGATCTGGTGGCGGCCAAGCTGAGCTAATTTTACAAAGAAGCTGCCTAGGAATATTTGAGTAGTTGGCCTGGCTCATGTGTTTCCCTGTCTTTAATAAAAGCTTGCAGGGACCTCACCAGGAACGAGGTAAACCCAGAGACGCTCCGAGTGCAGCAGGACTGGAGCCCGGGCTTCCGGAATCTCAAAACAGCTGGTTTAACCAGAGAAGCCTGGATGCACCTCCTTAAATGAAGTGATTTGGAGCTTGGCAAAATAACAACTGAAATGAGTGGATTTTATTTTGATGCTCTCCATTAATAATAAAACATCAGATATAATTGGTCTGGGATTACGAGGTAAATAAAAAACTAAGTAGTAGATTTCGTGTCCTGAATATTTCATGACTCCAAGAATTGACATCTGTACATTAACCAGAATAAGATTTTATTACCTCTCTGTTTTTAGTTTATTCAGGCTCAAAGACATGAACAAGGAAAAAAGAGGGACTTTTATATGTGTGCTTACCCCAGGAGCACTGATGGAGAGTGGATAAGCTGGGAAGAATGATAAAAGAAGGGCAGGGTAGTAACACTAACTTACTTGTGTTACCAGTGCTGAGTTTTTGAAAAAATTCCAGAAGTCCAGTAACTGCTTTCTGCAGTCTCTGGAACATGACTCTGCATTCAGAAGATGATAATTTGTGGTGAGTAGGGAGTTGCCCTATTTAATTTTAGAAAAACTGGTTGCAGTTAAAAGACATTTCTGTTCTTTTAGTCCTAAGCATGATTTTTCACTGCTTCCTGTAAGAATTCACATGCACCAGCTAGAGCAGCACGGCAGGGGAGTACAGCGGGTGGCTGCCAGGAAGGCTCAGCCTTGCCCCGGGCAGCAGCCAAAGCCGCGCCATCCCTCTCTCCTCGGCTTCCTGCGGAGTGCGGAGCAGGGGCAGCAGCGAGACTCTCACTGGCCACCGACTGTTTCCCTGGGAGCTCTGGCTTTGGCAGCAGATGTCAAAGAAGAATGGCTGAAGAAACAAATGTAGGAGTGGGAGCCTGTGACCTCTTTTTAAGATGAGATATCTTCTCTTAAAAGACAGTCCTAGCTTATAACCTTGCCTTTTCAAAGGCCAGTGTTAGATGCCACAGCTTTTAGTCTGACTCCTTCCTGTGGGCATTTCTGTCTCGCACTGGGGCCAGAAAGCAAATCTGGAGAGGCAGCTCTATCTGGGCGTGGAAGGCAGTTAAAGGAAACCTGGAATGTGGCATGAGCGTTATTTGTTTGGCAGCCCTGCCAGCAGCACTAGTGATCATGTGACACGCCCAGCGTCTCTTGTTGAGGGGGCCTCCAAAGCTGTTGTTATTGGGGTGAGCAGGGCTGGACTCCTCAAAAAGCCAGTTATGTTCCCCAGGCAGCTCATCTTTTCTGACTGGGACACCTGCTCTGTGCCTGCCCTGGGTCAGATCCCCTGGGGTGCTGGCCTCCAAAGAGCTCTGTGTGCTTTCTGAAGAAACTGAAGCGTAGATATATAGTAACCTAATGGGGGTGACCCAGTTTCCTGACCCTAGTTTGTTCTTGTAGATATGTAGTGGTAAGTGGCATTTCAAGTCAGTCTGTACCTTACAGCTGGCATTGACAAAGTTCTTACTATGTGCTGACACTGACTTCTTCAGTCCTCGAAGCCACCCTGTGAAATACACATAATTGATCCCATTTTAGAGGTGAGTAAATTAAACCTCAGAAGTAATATAGCTTCTCTCTAGTAGAACAGAAGGGTTGGTGCCAGGACTTAAACTAAGGTTTGTCTGCTTCCGGAGTACAGGTACCAACAAGCCAATCTGACCGGCTTACATTTTGCAGCACTTAATTCTGAGCATCTGTCGTTTTCTCAACAGACTCAACAAAATGAAGCCAGGATACTTTTGGCTGCATCTTGCACTGCTTGGGGCCTCGCTGCCAGCTGCGCTGGGATGGATGGACCCAGGAACCAGCAGAGGCCTGAACATGGGTGTGGGGGAGTCGCAGGCAGAGGTAAAGTCACGTAACTGCCAATGTGTCATTTAAAACTGATTGCTTTTCGGTTCCCTCCCCCAACTCTAGTTTAGATCAGTTAGAGTGCGTTGTGAACTAAAGCTGCTCCCCCTTTCTGGTGGGGACAGAAGGAAGCAACATGTGTGGATATGGACAGATTTATGTCATACTATAAATAACGGTCTCAAATCTCTCCAGTGCTGACAGTGTATTCCAAAAGCGAGCTTCACTTGCATGGTTAGTCTTACACGAAGACCCTCAAGGGAATAGTCTTTTGTATATATAATAAAACTCTGAAAACGCAGACTCATTGGTGGAGCATGCCCCTGTGAATTAATGAAATCTTTTAATTACAAAATGTTTTAAAAGAGATGGGCTCCTTTTCAGGTATATAGATACAAAGAACCAGGCTGAGAGAGAGCTGGCACTAGGGGTCCTGAGGGAGTCTGCCTTAACGAACAGATAAGAATGATTAATGGCATGTTAGGTATATATAAATGCTTCTAAAGTACTTGAAAAACTGGTTCTCAAATGCCTCCCTGGAGAGTCTCGATATACTGCTAATTGCTTAGTGAACTTGGTCTTAAGTACTAAAGAGGATTCATAAACTGCAGCCTAGCCCTACTCAGGTAGGAGGCCTCCTGAAGTTGGGCCTCATGAGGGATGCGATTTTTCCATAGAAAATGTTTTGTATCTGCTGAACCTTATGAAATAGCTATGCCCTTTCATTAAAACTACCTTGGATATTCTTCACGATGTGGTGAATACTGATTCTCATCCGAGCATTTTCCTTCCATTGGCTTCCTGGGTGCACGCTCTGCTCCTTTTCGCTGTGTGTGTGCCCTCTCCTGAGGACCGAGCGAGAAAGTTCCCTCAGAAAGTCAACATGACCAGAGAGTGAATAACGACACACAGTGTATGGCAGGATTAATGCATTATTTGATCAAAAGAAACGATTTCTCTTTCATTATTACTTAATTGTAATGCAATCCCAAGCCTAGAAGCCTTAATCTTCAGGGAGCTTAAGAAGTAATTTAATGCGCACTTTTCCTGCTGAAGTTAGTGTGGCTTCCTTTTGTGGAGAGCAGCTGGTTGAATAGAAACACTATCTCTCCCATCTAAATCCATGAAGGACACAACTTAATGCTCTTTTCAAAGAGTCTTGCGGCTGACTTGCTGGCCAGGACAGCTGTTCCATGTGGGAATGGCTTACTCATTATACCTGTACAGAGAGAAGTGGTCACTTAAATCCTGCAAATGCAGTGGTGAATATTGAACAGTAAAGCAAACAGACAAACCCACAGATAGGCTTGTGTCATCTCTTTACTATTGGGATACACTGGCCCACTGTTTTAAATCACTTATTTCAATTACAAGAGTCAAACCACTAAGGTGGGATTTAGCTGGAGGGAAACTGAGGGTAAGTCAGTGTCAACCTAGGGCATCTTTACCTTAGCTCTGAACCCCCTAATACTTCGGGTACCATCAAGGAAAAGCAGATGCTGCTCATTCTGAGGAAGTAAGGCTTTTTTGTTTTGGGGTGTTATTTTGGTGCCTCCTCCCCATTTCCCTCATTAGGATAGAGCCCAGAGATGCTGTCAAGTCCCAGGTACAGGAATTTTTCTGCTTCAGACAAAGGAAGTGCTGCCTCTGCAGACTTGGAGCCACAAGAACAACTGCCCTATCGATCCCGTTCTCTTTGCTAGAGAGTGAGTGTTGCGAAGTGTTATGACGTCCACTCATCGAGTTTGCTTATATGAATGATTACAAGGATGATGAGAATGTGAATGGCCCTAGGACGTAGGACAGCCTCAGTAAATATTTGGAGAGAGCTGAGCATTTATTTGTGACTGATTTGTTTGGTGACCTTGATTGCATTATATGTATGACCCCGCCAAGCCGTTACTCTCCAGGGTTCTCTTGCCTGGCATGCCGTCCCTTCCCATATGTCTGGATCATCCCCTTCACCAAGTCTCAGTTCTGGTTCTTGCCTTTTCTCTAGAACCTTCCTTGACCACTCTTGGTCACATTTAAGCTCTTTCTCTGAGGTCCTAGTCTTTCCTTTTTGTGGTTGTTCTTAATTCTTATATTTCTAATTTAACGTATGGATGAAGCCTATCTGATTTATATTTCTCCTCCTTATAGTGTCAAATAATTTTAAGAGCAGAATAGAGGCTCAGTGTGTTTTTGAGCCAATTGTTATTAATTCAATATTTGGTACTAACCATGAAGTCACCTTGGTGTTTCCCAAATTCAGACTAGACCATGGAATACTTAAGTGTGTGACATATCTCTCTGCACAACAGGTTCATTTCCAGTGGGGACACGAGTGGTCTATGTAGCAAATTTGCAGGCAGCTTGCTGGCCAAGCCAGGCTTGTATCAACATCCCAGGCAGACCTTGTGTGTTACAGGTTCTGGGTAGTTTCTCCTTTGAATAGTAGCCTTTTAATATGTCCATACTGACTGCCCAAACCATATTAAACTCCTCCAGCAGTTTCTTCAGACAGTCTTACTTTCTAGAAGACTCAAAAACAGCACAATTTCCTGAGACTCTATAAACAAATTGAAAAATCTTTTCAGGAACTACATGATAAAATGTTTCTGTGTGTGTGTATGTTTTTTCCTGGTAGTAATACTTTAGAAAGCATTCATTGACTTAAGATTTTTAAAGTACTTGGAAAGCATGAACAAGACTTGATTTGCCTGTTAAGTTATTCTACTAATTACTTGAGTGCCCTAAGGTTAAATAAGGATTAAATGACCAGTGTGTGTGTGTGTGTGTGCATATTTTTTCTTTTTCTTTTTTTTATTAAGATATCATGGATATACAATCTTACTAAGGTTTCACATGAGCAACATTGTGGTTACTATATTCACCCATATTATCAAGTCCCCCCTGCACCATGGGTGCACATTTTTAAAGCAATTAGAGCAAATGTGAATTTTGTTAAGTTATTGTTGTCTGTACAAAGACTGCAGTTGAAATAGCTTCAGGGAGTTTGCCATTTTACAAACATAGATAAAAAGAAATATAACTGGGTGGAGTGCCTCTTTAATAAGAGTTGAGTGGCAGAACATGGCCTAGAATACTAATGAAATTCTGAATTCACAGGAAACAATTCTGAGAGAGAAAAACCTATTGAAATTCTGAACTAGTTCTATTTCCCCCCTTCCCCCATGCACTGGCCAAGATAGATGTAGTAGCAAAATCAATACTGGTAGGATTTTATATTTGGAGGGACAAAGAAAATGAGAACTGATGTGGTGGCAGCCCCCAGGATCCTCGCCTCTTGAGGGGCAGGGATTTGTGGGAGGGTCCCCCCACTTTGGGCCCTGGATGCTCTGTCCCCACCACTCACTTGGCTCTAGATGAGATGGTGGCCTTATGCATCCTTCATGCATTTTGCTGAACTTTTTCTAAATTGCTCTTAGCCATAGTTTCTTGTGAGGCACTAAGTAACGATAATCATTGATGTTGGTCCCTTCAGTTGTCAGCTTCCTTTGCCTTGGTGCTTACAGACCAGAGATGTCTTTTGAGGTCTGACATCTGTGTGCAAACTCTCCTAGGAGAGTCCTGGAGGAATAATACGTAGGGTACCATCAGCAATAAGGACGTTCGCCCTCCTCCCTAAGCCCTGGGAAGCGGGAATCCGACCCTGGCTGACTGGCCCTTTCCCCTTTCTGCACGTGTTGGCCCTAGATGCCACCTGCACGCAGGGGCTCTCCTGTCCCAGCGAGGGCAGCTTCTAATTGCAGAGGCCTTAACTGCCCTGGCTTCTTTCTGCATTGGTTGGACATTCAGGAAGACTTGGACTGCTAAGACAGGGCATTAATTTTTTTAAAAAGATCTCTTTTTCAGAGTGTCATTGTGCTTACAGACTTGACTGAACTTAAGGTAACGTGCCCCGCCCCTTCTAGTATTATCCCCCCCACCCCCACCCCATGTCCCCACTCTTCCTTTTGATGGCTGGCTAGGGAAGAAGAGCTCATCGGTGGGGTCTGAAGTCTGCCCATCAGCACCGCAGACTCCACAGAAGATTTTGCCCGTCACTCTGCTTGTGGGATGGAGAAAACAAACTCCTTCCTCCCTGGGGACAGGCAGGGTTCCAGGCTGGGTGCCCAGTGCTTCCCAAGCCTCCTCTGAAGTGCAGGCCTGCGTGCATCTCCCATGTACGTTTGGACTCCCGCTTCCGAAACGCTCGCTGCTGCCAGCTCCAGCATTTGGCTTTCGAAGAAGAGCCTTGGAGTGAGGTGTCTCAGCAAGAGGCACGGTGGCCCTTTCTCCAGTTGAGGAGCAAGAGGGTTCCCCACTGTACCCCCTTCATGAGGATCCAGGATTTCTGCTGCAGGTGTGGTGGCAGCCTGCAGGGTGGGAGCCTCTTCTCTGGTCCTTGAACCCTCAGCCATGGCTCTCTGCTGATTCTTCTATATCACGAGGTGTGGAATTTAGTTTCTCAGGTAAAATTGGGAGGGCACAACCCCCAGCTGTAGATATGGGAGTAAATCCATAATTTTCCAGGTGAAAGATGGTGACAAATACTCCGAGGTCACTGGGCGCTGGATGAGCTGGTTCCCACCCCCAGAGTCAGGAGGGACGAGTGTCTCCTGAGCTTCAAGGCGTCAGCAGGCAGCCGGAGGGTCCTGGGGCGATACGGGTGCTGCTGCAGCAGCTCTGGGCTCGGGGTGGCCCTAAAACTGAGCTTCTCATGGGCTCCCAGGGATACTGGTTCTTCCAGCCCCAGAAAGCACCAGGCAGGAAAAGCCCAAGAGGAGGCCCCCTGCACACACCCGTGAAGGAGAATCTGCGTGCTGGCTGACCCTTGCCTTTTTCACCTCCCTGCAGTCGAGACAAGGAGAGAAGTGTGCAAGCTGCAGTCATGCCAGAAGTAGCTGGATGGGACGCTGGCTTCCAGGGTGGGAGCAGGGAGGCGTGGGGAGCGGTGAGCTGAAGCAGCCTGGGTTCCAGACTCATTGTCACCTATTTGCAAGACAGCAGGC